CAGCTGCCATCTTATGTTTCTCCTTTTCTTTGCAGGAAAGCTCCCTGACAGAGTTGTATATTATCACTCTCCCATTTTTCATTTATTTATTTTAAAGAGAGCAGCACTGATCTGCTGTTCCGCTCATTCATGCTTTCACTGATGGGATGGAACCCGCAACTCTGGTGCATTGGGACGATCCTCCAACCAATAGCTAACTGGCCAGAGTCATTGGTTGATTCATTTTTTTTTTAAATTAATTTTTTAAAATTGATTTTAGAGAAGAAGGGAGAGGAGAGAGGGAGAGAACATTAATGTGAGAGAACCATCAATCAGCTGCCTCCTGCATGCCTCTGCCTCCATGCCTGGTCTTCTGTACCCAATGCTCATCTGGTTTTCCTCCCGTTTCTCTGGCCGAGCCCTCTCACACTTCTTTGCTGGGTCTTCCTGGTCTCCCAACTTCTACACGAGGGAGAACACCAGAACTCAGTGCTTGGTGACTTCATTCTCCACATGCCCTTTAACCAGCTTCCCCTAATGTTAACACCTTCCACAGCCGTGGTACATTTGTCAAAACTAATTGATGAAAATTACTAGTGAAGCTACAGACTTTACTTGAATTTCACAAGTAGGGCTCCAAGGTGCCCAAGACTTCACTGGTTTGGTTTTAAAACTGAAAGTTATATATGGAGTACCCTCAGCAATGGGCAAACTGGAACTGTAGGCCACTGTATTCACCAGCTTTTCCATTAATTAACATTTTCTGTTCCAGGATTCAAGCCACTACATTGCATTTAGTTGTCCTGTCTCCTTAGTCTCTTCTAATCTGCAACAGTTTATCAGTCTTCAGTTTATCTTGTCTCTCATGGTCTTGACATTCAAAAAATATATGTTTATTTGTTGTTGTTTTTATTGATTTCAGAGAGAGGAAAGGAGATGCAGAGAGAGAGAAACATCAATAAGAGTCATTGATGGGCGGCCTCCTGCCCGCCCCCTGCTGGGGATGGAACCTACCCTGACCTAGTTCATAGGTCCCAGCTCAACCACAGCCACAGCCACAGCCACAGCCAGGCGGGCCTGGTGTGCCCTTGACTCTGGAGGAGTACTGGTCCGATATTTTGTTGAATGCCCTCAGTTTTGTTTTGCTGAATGTTTTCTTGTGGTTGCACTGGGCTTATGGGTTTTAAGGGAGAAACCTGCAGAGGAGAAGCAGGGCAGAAATTTGATGTTTTACTCACCACTGCATACCTAGTGCCTAGAACCGAGTGCCTGGCCCTTGAGGGCACACAATCTGTTTGCTGAATGAATAAGGGATGAATGAATGACTCTGTAAACGTTAGTTAGTACTTTTAAAAACACATACGTCTTTTTATTGATTTCAGAGAGGGAGGGGGAGGGAGAGAGAAACATCAATGATGAGAGAGTCATTGATTGGCTGCCTCCTGCACGCCCCCTACTGGGGATCGAGCCCACAACCCAGGCATGTGCCCTGACCCGGAATCGAACCGCGATCTCCTGCATCATAGGTGGATGTTGAACCCCTGACTCACACCAGACGGGCTATTTAGTACTTTTTTTGAAGGTTTAAATGTTAATATAAATACTACCCCACCAAACATGTTGTTCTGCTGTTTTTTTCCTTCAACAATGTGTCCTGAAGAGCCATTTTAGGACGCATAGAAGCACTGCATTCTTCTTTCACCTTATTACAAACAACTGCAAAGCCTCTTTTGGTGTTCCTCTGTGCACATGCGTTCGAGTTTCCTCATGGGCAGAACTGGGGAAGAATTGCTAGACAGAGAATAGGCACGTTTACGTGTTAATGGAGACTAAAAATGTCCAGCTGAAGTGGCTGAACACATTTACACCCCAGCAGCATTTGAAAGCACCCGTTTTCCTCACGTCTCACCGACAGGTGATAATCCGCAAAAGCGCAGCGACAGCCTGAGAGTGCCCGGTCACTTTCCGGACCACATCTCCCAGGGTGCACTGCGGCCCCTGGGCTACCTGGTTGCGTAGAATGGAATGACCAATCCCTGAGAACCTCAGCGAGGCGGCGCTGCCTCCGCTCCTCACCTACCTCTGGGGCGCCCGGAGCAGCGACTACCACTCCCATAAGCCACAGTGGACTGACGCCGCCGGCCACCATTTCGAGGCCCGGCAGGGGTAGGAAAGGGCCCGGGATCCCGCTTCCCGGCAGGCAGTGCGGCCCAAGGGGCGGAACTCCATTTCCCAGCAGGCTCCAGGCGGTGGGCGCCGCGGTGCCTTGTGTGGGATGTAAGCGCGGAGGTGGGCGCGGGGGACCGAAGCCAGGACTCTTCTTGGGATTTGGGGGGCTTGTCCAGAGGGTGCCTTCCGGACGGACTCTAGGGCCTGGGGATACTGTCGCAGAGAGGGATCGGGGTGGCCATTGGCGTCCCTCAGCGGGGTTCCAGGGGCGACCCCCATTGGGGCCGGGGCTCCTGGGGTTGTGGGGGACGAGGAGGCCCTACAGCCTTGGCTGAGGGGGTCTCATCAACGCAAGAGCAGACGAGTGGAGGGTGCAGGGTGCGGGGAAGCAAGGGATTGTGTGTGTGTCTGTGTGTGGGAGGGTATTGGAACCTTAGAGAAGCCTGGGAAGGGGCTCCCTGGCCGTGCCCGGCCGACTCTCCCTCTCCCGGCTCGCCCGCAGGCCGAGGCCCGCCGCCATGGGGCTGAAGGCCGCCCAGAAGACTCTGTTCCCGCTACGCTCGATAGACGACGTGGTGCGCCTGTTCGCAGCCGAGCTGGGCCGAGAAGAGCCGGACCTGGTGCTCCTATCCTTGGTACTGGGCTTCGTGGAGCATTTCCTAGCTGTCAACCGCGTCATCCCCACCAATGTGCCCGAGCTCACCTTCCAGCCCAGCCCCGCGCCCGACCCTCCTGGCGGCCTTACCTACTTCCCAGTTGCTGACCTATCCATCATCGCTGCGCTCTATGCACGCTTCACCGCCCAGATCCGAGGTGCCGTCGACCTGTCTCTGTACCCCCGAGAGGGGGGTGTCTCCAGCCGCGAGCTGGTGAAAAAGGTCTCCGATGTCATCTGGAACAGCCTTAGCCGCTCCTACTTCAAGGATCGGGCCCATATCCAATCCCTCTTCAGCTTCATCACAGGTTGGAGCCCCACAGGTGGCAAGGGGCAAGAATCCTGTCTCACCTGACAACCTTGGCCCACCTCTTCACAACACATGGTTTACAGAGCCTTTTTGAGACCTGTAAGCCTTGTGAGGTGGGG